TCAGAAATTGAAATGCAAGAGGAAAAAATGGAAGAAAAAAAAAAGGACAAAACACCTACGAAATGTGAGAACAATTACAAAGGAAGGAACGTACATATAATTAGGATTCCAGAAGCAGAAAAAAGAAACAAATTAGGGGAGTTCCCTGGTGGTCCAGTATTAGGACTCAGCATTTTCTGCCGTGGCCTGGGTTCAATCCCTGGTCAGGGAATTAAGATCCCGCAAGCTGCGTGGATCTTAACAAAAAATAAACAACAAAAAATAATGGCTGAGTTTTTCAAAATTAGTGACACACTCCCACCACAGATCCAGGAAGTCAGAGAATACCAGGCCATATATAAATAAAAATATCTAGATATATCCTGTTCAAGCATCCAGCATACGGAGTATTATTTGAAGGCTACTTGAATTACTTTTAAGTGTGTACTGTACTCTGGGGCAAGCACTAAAGCTTTAAAAATTATAACTGATATGCCAAGAAGAAAGAAAATGCAATTATATAAAATACACAGTTAAAGTTATATAAAGAAGAAAAAGAGAAGAATGAAAAAGTACAATGAATAGACAATATTTTAAAACATGACAGATATATGTGAATTATCTAAATGCACTAATGAAAAAACAATCTCAGAGTGGATTTAAAAAAGACCCAAATATGCTACCTGTACAAAACCCCTATGAATATAAAAAGAAATAAAGTAAAGGGATTTAGAAAAAAATGTCATACTAACACAAACCAAAAGAAAACTAGAGTAGCTTTATTACTTTCAGACAAAGTCAACTTTAAGAAAGGAAAGTTATCAGGAATAAAGAGGAGCATTACATAACGATAAAGGGGTAGAGACAAGAAGGAGATGTAACAGTCCTTAAGAGGTTGTGCCTAAAAACAGATCATCCAAATTGGTGAGGCAAGAACTGATAACAATTATAGTCTGAGATTTCAACAAACTTCCATTTGTACTTCATGGATTCATCAGTCAAAACAAGGACATAGCAGAACTGAGCAGCACCATCAGTCAATGGGATCTAATCAACATTTATAGAATACTTTATTCTACAACAGCAGAATACACATTTTTAAGCTCAGATAGCACTTTGATTGAGATAGGAAACAGTCTGGGTCAGAAAGCACAATTCAACAAATTTAAGAGCAGAAATCATACAAAACATTTTCTCATATGACAAGACAATGAAGCTAGTCATTAATAAATCATGGCTATAAATATCAGAATATTTTCAGATTGAACAACACATTTCTAAATAACGTGTGGGTCAAAAAACTCCCAGATAATTTTAAAATATTTTGAACTAAAAGAGAAGGAAAATACAACTTTTTCTGTTTACAGTGTAAATATTGAGTACCACTGTTCACAGCAACTCCTCGATTGAATCAGATTTGTTCTCCCAACGACTGTGCTTATGACTTTTGCATAGTGAATCTAATGTTCACACTAAATGCACTGCTGACCTTGAGACAATAAAAGTCTTGCAGAAAACACTGTTTGGCTTCTTTCTTGAAGAGGCAATTCAGTAACAATAGTCTTCCTTATATACGCTGACCAGAAGACAGTAAGAAAAAATAGGAACATACGTTTTTTTTTTCTTCTTGTGATAAGCGGGCCTCTCCCGTTGCGCAGCACAGGCTCCGGACGCTCAGGCTCAGCGGCCATGGCTCACAGGCGCAGCTGCTCCGCGGCATGTGGGATCTTCCTGGACCGGGGCACGAACCCGTGTCCCCTGCATCGGCAGGCGGACTCTCAACCACTGCGCCACCAGGGAAGCCCGGGACATACGTATTTTAATTAACCAAATGTATCCTCTAACATATTTACATGGTGATGGTTTTTGTATAAAAAGTGCATAATTCCCACAACCCTCATGTTGGATTCCAGTACAATTAAATTGAAGGTAGTCTTTGGGGAGAGAAGTTTTCCTCATCCATTACCTTCACAGGAATTTTTTTCCTGTGTAAATTTCTAACACCCATTGAGTAGTCTGGTGGAAAGACTGTTCATAAGTGATTAATTTCAAGGATTTACCACTTGTGTGAGTCCTCTAATGTCCAATGAGGGCTGAAATCTGGTTGAAACACTATCCATACACAATACACATGAGGGATTGCTCTGTGAGTTTTGTTGATTGATGGTTGATTTCTCAAAGGGAAAATTTCCAGGTTTATTATATTAATTGATCTTCCCCTGAGTCCTCTGATGCTGCACTTCCAGTCAAAGTTTCCCCATATCCATTACATTCATAGGGTTTCTCCCACATGGGGACTGTCTGACGTACTCTGAGGTTGTTTGTAGATGAAAACGTTCCCACATTCATTAATAATAGGATTTCTCCCCAGTGTGAGTTCTCTGAAGTGTTTAGGACTGGCATTTGGCTAAAAGCTTTTTCACATTCAACCCATTCACAGGGTTTCTCCCGTGTGAATTCCATGATGCAGAGGTAGATGAGAATTTCTCTTGAAGGATTTTCCACCCTTGTTACACTCCTAACGTTTCTGTCCTGTGTGAATTCTCTGAGGCCGAGTGAAGTGAAACTTCCTAGAGAGAGATATTTCACACGTATTACATTCATAGGGTTTCTCTCATGTGTGGACCCTCTGATGTAACCTGAGGTTGACTTTATAGGTGAAAACTTTCTGACATTCATTACATCCATAGGGTTTCTCCCCAGTGTGAATTCTCTGATGTCTACTTAGTAATGACTTCCAGTTAAAAGCCTTCCCACATTGAATACATACATAGGGTTTCTCCCCTGTATGATTCCTCTGATGCTCAATGAGGTTAGATCAAAGACAATCAAGAACAGAAAAACAAGCATATTAGAGGAAATTGATTTAGACACCTACAGGTGTAGCAAACAGTGAACATGCAGTGAACATGCCAGCATAAATCTTACCAAGATAAACATTAACCCTCCCACTGAAGTCCTATTTATCTTAGTTTCTGTACCCAATAAATCATGTCTGCCTTTCAACAAAAAATTACAATGTATCACAAGAGAAGAAAAAAACGCAGTATGAAGATACAAAGCAAGCAAGAGGACGAGACTTAGATATGACAGATTTTGGAATTATCAGATGGAATTTAAAAATATGATTAATATGCTAAAACCTCTCTTGCAAAAATGGACAACATGCAAGAACAAATGGACATTAGAAGAACAGAGATTAAAATTCTAGGAAAGAACCTAAGGGAAAAACTAGTAATTAAAAACAGTGCAGCAGAAATGAAGATACCTTTGATGGGCTCCCAAGTAGCCTGGACACAGAGGAACAATAAATGAACTTCAAGACGGAAACATCAGAAATTGAAATGCAAGAGGAAAAAATGGAAGAAAAAAAAAAGGACAAAACACCTACGAAATGTGAGAACAATTACAAAGGAAGGAACGTACATATAATTAGGATTTCAGAAGCAGAAAAAAGAAACAAATTAGGGGAGTTCCCTGGTGGTCCAGTATTAGGACTCAGCATTTTCTGCCGTGGCCTGGGTTCAATCCCTGGTCAGGGAATTAAGATCCCGCAAGCTGCGTGGATCTTAACAAAAAATAAACAACAAAAAATAATGGCTGAGTTTTTCAAAATTAGTGACACACTCCCACCACAGATCCAGGAAGTCAGAGAATACCAGGCCATATATAAATAAAAATATCTAGATATATCCTGTTCAAGCATCCAGCATACGGAGTATTATTTGAAGGCTACTTGAATTACTTTTAAGTGTGTACTGTACTCTGGGGCAAGCACTAAAGCTTTAAAAATTATAACTGATATGCCAAGAAGAAAGAAAATGCAATTATATAAAATACACAGTTAAAGTTATATAAAGAAGAAAAAGAGAAGAATGAAAAAGTACAATGAATAGACAATATTTTAAAACATGACAGATATATGTGAATTATCTAAATGCACTAATGAAAAAACAATCTCAGAGTGGATTTAAAAAAGACCCAAATATGCTACCTGTACAAAACCCCTATGAATATAAAAAGAAATAAAGTAAAGGGATTTAGAAAAAAATGTCATACTAACACAAACCAAAAGAAAACTAGAGTAGCTTTATTACTTTCAGACAAAGTCAACTTTAAGAAAGGAAAGTTATCAGGAATAAAGAGGAGCATTACATAACGATAAAGGGGTAGAGACAAGAAGGAGATGTAACAGTCCTTAAGAGGTTGTGCCTAAAAACAGATCATCCAAATTGGTGAGGCAAGAACTGATAACAATTATAGTCTGAGATTTCAACAAACTTCCATTTGTACTTCATGGATTCATCAGTCAAAACAAGGACATAGCAGAACTGAGCAGCACCATCAGTCAATGGGATCTAATCAACATTTATAGAATACTTTATTCTACAACAGCAGAATACACATTTTTAAGCTCAGATAGCACTTTGATTGAGATAGGAAACAGTCTGGGTCAGAAAGCACAATTCAACAAATTTAAGAGCAGAAATCATACAAAACATTTTCTCATATGACAAGACAATGAAGCTAGTCATTAATAAATCATGGCTATAAATATCAGAATATTTTCAGATTGAACAACACATTTCTAAATAACGTGTGGGTCAAAAAACTCCCAGATAATTTAAAAATATTTTGAACTAAAAGAGAAGGAAAATACAACTTTTTCTGTTTACAGTGTAAATATTGAGTACCACTGTTCACAGCAACTCCTCGATTGAATCAGATTTGTTCTCCAAACAACTGTGCTTATGACTTTTGCATAGTGAATCTAATGTTCACACTAAATGCACTGCTGACCTTGAGACAATAAAAGTCTTGCAGAAAACACTGTTTGGCTTCTTTCTTGAAGAGGCAATTCAGTAACAATAGTCTTCCTTATATACGCTGACCAGAAGACAGTAAGAAAAAATAGGAACATACGTTTTTTTTTTCTTCTTGTGATAAGCGGGCCTCTCCCGTTGCGCAGCACAGGCTCCGGACGCTCAGGCTCAGCGGCCATGGCTCACAGGCGCAGCTGCTCCGCGGCATGTGGGATCTTCCTGGACCGGGGCACGAACCCGTGTCCCCTGCATCGGCAGGCGGACTCTCAACCACTGCGCCACCAGGGAAGCCCGGGACATACGTATTTTAATTAACCAAATGTATCCTCTAACATATTTACATGGTGATGGTTTTTGTATAAAAAGTGCATAATTCCCACAACCCTCATGTTGGATTCCAGTACAATTAAATTGAAGGTAGTCTTTGGGGAGAGAAGTTTTCCTCATCCATTACCTTCACAGGAATTTTTTTCCTGTGTAAATTTCTAACACCCATTGAGTAGTCTGGTGGAAAGACTGTTCATAAGTGATTAATTTCAAGGATTTACCACTTGTGTGAGTCCTCTAATGTCCAATGAGGGCTGAAATCTGGTTGAAACACTATCCATACACAATACACATGAGGGATTGCTCTGTGAGTTTTGTTGATTGATGGTTGATTTCTCAAAGGGAAAATTTCCAGGTTTATTATATTAATTGATCTTCCCCTGAGTCCTCTGATGCTGCACTTCCAGTCAAAGTTTCCCCATATCCATTACATTCATAGGGTTTCTCCCACATGGGGACTGTCTGACGTACTCTGAGGTTGTTTGTAGATGAAAACGTTCCCACATTCATTAATAATAGGATTTCTCCCCAGTGTGAGTTCTCTGAAGTGTTTAGGACTGGCATTTGGCTAAAAGCTTTTTCACATTCAACCCATTCACAGGGTTTCTCCCGTGTGAATTCCATGATGCAGAGGTAGATGAGAATTTCTCTTGAAGGATTTTCCACCCTTGTTACACTCCTAACGTTTCTGTCCTGTGTGAATTCTCTGAGGCCGAGTGAAGTGAAACTTCCTAGAGAGAGATATTTCACACGTATTACATTCATAGGGTTTCTCTCATGTGTGGACCCTCTGATGTAACCTGAGGTTGACTTTATAGGTGAAAACTTTCTGACATTCATTACATCCATAGGGTTTCTCCCCAGTGTGAATTCTCTGATGTCTACTTAGTAATGACTTCCAGTTAAAAGCCTTCCCACATTGAATACATACATAGGGTTTCTCCCCTGTATGATTCCTCTGATGCTCAATGAGGTTAGACTTTCTATAGAAGGACTTTCCACATTTGTTACACTCATAGGGTTTCTCCCCTGTGTGACTTCTCTGATGCTCAGTGAGGTAAGACTTTGTATAGAAGGATTTTCCACATTTGTTACACTCATAGGGTTTCTCCCCTGTGTGACTTCTCTGATGCAGAATGAGGTAAGACTTTCTATAGAAGGATTTTCTACATCTGTTACACTCATAGGGTTTCTCCCCAGTGTGAATTCTGTGATGCTCAGTGAGGTAACTCTTTCTATGGAAGGATTTTCCACATTTATTACAATCATAGGGTTTCTCCCCTGTGTGACTTCTCTGATGTTCACTGAGGTAACTTTTTCTATTGAAGGATTTTCCACATTTATTACACTCGTAGGGTTTCTCTCCCGTGTGAGTACGCTGATGTATTTTTAGGGATGACTTATGTCTAAAAGTTTTCCCACATTTATTACAGTCATAGGCTTTCTCCCCTGTGTGAATTCTCTGATGCACAATGAGGTATGACTTCCTACAGACAGATTTTCCACACTCACCACATTCATAGCGTTTCACCCCTGTGTGACGTCTCTGATGTTTTCTGAGGTATGATATGTGGGTAAAAGCTTTCCCACATTCAGTACATTCATGGCGTTTCTCCCCTGTGTGACTTTTCTGATGCTCAGTGAGGTGAGAATTTCTATAGAAGGCTTTTCCACATTTACTACACTCATAGGGTTTCTCCCCTGTGTGAGTTCTCTGATGTCTTTTTAGGGTTGATTTATGGCCATAAGCTTTCCCACATTCAATACATTCATAGGGTTTCTCCCCTATGCAACTTCTCTGATGTTCTCTGAGGTATGACATGTGGGTAAAAGTTTTCTCACATTCATTGCATGCATAAGGTCTCTCCCCACTATGAGTTCTCTGATGTCCAATGAGGTATGACTTCCTAGAGAAGGATTTTCCACATTCTTCATAGGGTTTCACACTCATTTGAGTTCTCTGATGTACAGTAAAGGTAGTCTGAGGGTATAAGGTTTGCCAAAATATGGTATCATCACAGAAGCTCCTCTTTGTGTCAAGTTTCTGGGATATGGTAAGGGCTGCATTAGGGCTTAAGTTACTTCCAATTTCAAAGGGCTTTATTTCTGAGTGAGTGCTCTGATGTTCTCTGCAGTGTAACTCCTGGCGGAAAGTTTTCTCAACTGTGTCTTTATTCTGAAGTTGAGCAAAAAAGTCTTGCTGCAGATATTTTCCTTGATTTGCCAGGCTTTTCTCTAAGAGGTTATCAAGTTTGCAGTCTTATAAAATAAAGAAAATAAAAATGCCTTATAAGCCTTAAAACACATTTCTTATAGGATGCAGCCTTTATATATATGCCCTATATTGTATTTGACTCTTTGGTTTCTAGCCACCACATCTTCCCAAAATAAATAAATTCCAAATGTATGTTTCCTATACTCCTTGAGAAAAAAGGACACCAAAATTATGATGATTATCTCTATATAGCTGGCATTTTAAAAATAAGGAAATGAACAGTAAATAGCTAATAGAGGACTCTCAAAAGTGATTCACTCAGGCAACTGGAAAATGAGACACTGGGATGACTGATTATTAGCAGTAAGTAGAACTACAAGAAAAATCAGTCAGTAAGGGTTTTCAAACAATATATCAGAGAAGGGATTGGACTGAGGAAGAATATCAATGTCTAGGTCTTTATACTTCCAACTAAAGATTATGATGGTAGGAACTTATTAGTCTACAAGCTTCCAGCTGGAGTTCCCTCTGTTCTATTCTACACATCAACACTGAAATAAATTCATAATTGAACTGATTTTCTTCTGATTAAAGAAACAATTCTATGGCTCAAGCTCAAATCCTCCTGGAGTTATTCACAGAATTACAAATGTATAAGAAGTGTAAAACTGATGAGAGGTAAAACCACATATTGACCTGGAATGAATTCACTTCTATATGCTGGCTCTGGTGCCTTAGTTTATTATATCCGTGCTGGTAAACAACAAACTTCTCTTGAATATCAAATCACAAGTTTCCCTTTTCATTATGATCACTCACTCTCCTGAAACTAGTTTTTTTGTTTTGTTTTTGTTTTTTGCCACACTGCACTACATGCAGGATCTTAGTTCCCTGACCAGGGATCAAACCTGTGCCCCCTGCAGTCTTAACCACTGGACCACCAGGGAATTCCCCCTAAAACTAGTCTTAACCAGGACTAATCTCTATGTAAGCATTCCATCTACTTCTGAACACACAGCTTTTATTAACTGAGATCCTTTAATATCACGTTTCAACCTGTTTCCAAAAGCCTATTTAGAAATGTACAGTTTATTCATTTCTCATAAAAGTTTCTTTCATATATTTGACTGCTCTTACCTAGGTTATTTTCACTTTCTACATAAAATGCCAGCCCTATGCTAAAACCTAAGATGGCACTGAACACACTGCTCTAAATACCACAGATAAAAAGAGTTAAGTGGCATCATTTTGGAAAATAACCTTTTTTACCAACTTCAGGCACATGAGATATTCTAGCTATCATTCCACAACTCCACGATATTTTCCAATCTAACCTGGCCAGGCTATTTGTCTCCCATCAGTGGTTCCTTAACAACAATAATATTTTTCATTTTCAACAATTATCTTCTACCCACATCCTTTCTCTACATAACCCTACATCCCAACTTAAGGACTAACAATTAATCTAGATATTTTTTGAGGCAATGCTATTCTCTAAACTTGACCAAGAAAATACCTTCTAAGAGGTTCCCACCAGTAATTTACACTCTCACAATACGTGCTGCCTATACCATTTATCTTAACAATGAATACCTGGAGAGCACACATGCACATTGAGGCACACACTTTTAAGTAAATTACCATCATTCAATCAGGATGCATCTTAAAATTTATGGCATGTCCACAGTTTTTTAGCTATCCCTAAAATAATGGTTTGTCTCTCAGCTGATACCAGTTTAGATCCTATAAAATATATTTCATGCAGCTTTGTGCTCCTAAATCTGGAACAGAACTCTCATTCTGTGATTATTTTTGCACCCCTCTGTGATATAAAATAAATCAGTTGTCTTTAAAAGTGCAGTATGCTTCAGAGCTACCCAGACCACTCTTGGTTACACTGGCTCAGGTTCAATGCCAATATACAGGATGATTCAGAAGTCAAAGAAATTTGACTGGTGCATCGATAAACATGAAATACCTCTCACCTACCTGGCTCTATTGTCAACCCTAATGTAACTGTACAATATTAATTATATATTACATCCTAGAGGAGGGAGGAATAGGGAATATTCTTTTTTGGTGCATTACAATACACCAAATTATTTATACACACACATTAGTTTTACGTATATCTTAATTTGTGTGTGTGTTTTAACATTCTTATTCCAAATAATGAGGCACTATTCAGTTTATTATGTTTCTGACCATTATTTGTATGGCATTTTTCTACCTATAAACATCTTCTGCTTGATTTCATATGCACAATTTTCATTTTAGATTCATAGACCATGATTGCCCTACAGTGTACAATGTTCCGTTTTATTGCTACATCATGATTTAGTTTTAAGTTCACTTGTGAATAAGTATTGAGGTTCTTTGCAGATTTGAGCTTTTTATAAATGTTGTATGAAGAAAGTCTTATTTTTGTCTCCCAGTGAAAAAGTGTAGGAAACTCTAGAAGATAAATCTGGGAGTGAAACTGCTGAGTCATGGGGAACAGGTATGTTAAACTTTTTTTTTTTTTTAATATTTATTTATTTGGCTGTGCCAGGTCTTAGTTGCAGCATGCGAGATCTTTGTTGCGGCGTGTGGGATCTTCAGTTGTGGCATGCTGGGTCTTTTAGTTGTGGCATGTGAACTCTTAGTTGTGGCATGTGGGACCTAGCTCCCCGATCAGGGATTGAACCCAGGTCCCCCGCATTGGGAGCACGGAGTCTTAGCCACTAGACCACCAGGGAAGTCCCAGGCATGTTAAACTTTAAAGAAAATGCTAATCTGTTTTCCCAAATACTTACACCAATTAATTATGCTACCTGCCTTGTAGATGCTTCCCTACATGATATCCTCATACTCTTGGAATCATAAGACCTCTTCATGTTTGAGAATTGAGTGGGTATAAAATCATGCTATATGAGATCCAATCTGAATTTGTACTTCCCACATTACCCAAATTGAGCACTTTTTCTCATAAATTCCATTTATTCCCTTCTTTGAGAAATACCTGTTTATGGACTTTGACTTTTTTTTTAATGGGTTGCTTGACTTTTTACTCACAATTTCAGTAGTTTAACACTTAACATACATTTGAGTCCCAAGTTTTTGTCTCAGGTGCCGAATCAGTGAATGAAATATTTTAAATATCTGCTCTCAGAGAGCTTATATTCCAGTGGAAAGAGACAGACAGAAAACAAAATACCTGACAATTGTATATTAGGTGATGAGTGGTTGGGAGAAAAGAGAAAAATAAAACAGAAGAAAGGACAGGGGTGACATTTTAAATATAATAGTCACAGAAGGCCATACTAAGAAGATACTTGTCTTGAGATCTGAATTCTTTATCTATTATAGAAACAAATCCTTTCTGAAGTACATTTGTAACAAATATCATCTCTCACTGTATGATCTGTCTCCTCACATTTATAAAAATATGAAATTTAGCATAAATATACATACAACTATTCTGTCCATTATAATAATACCACAGAGTGACCAGCCACGGAACTATCATCCTCATCAAGAAATAGAATATGACTGTATCAGGGAAACTTCAGGACTTTCTTAAGCACAAGTTTCTGCAGGTCACATCACTCATAAAATTTAGAGTAATTGTTTGCTCTCATTTCTGTACTGTTTTACAACTCTCTTTTAGAAGCCTTAAGAATTTGGAAGTTTAGAAAAAATATATCCAATATGTGGAGGAGGAAGATGTAACAAACGCGATGAGATATAATCCTGATGTTTTTCTCATCGTGAAAAACTAGGAACCAAAATATATGTTTTTAAAATCAAGTAATAGTCATTTTTGATATTCAAAAGCTAAAAATTAAGAGATTATAACAGAAACTAAAGTTGGGTGTTAAAATATGAGACAGAAGAGAAAATAAGCATTTTAGTCTCATAACTGGTTTCATATCAGGTGATTATCAGATACTGTCTAAATAAATAGATGATTAAGCCATTACATGAGATTATAATTTTTTTTTGTGGCCACACCACATGGCACGTGGGACCTCTGTTCCCTTGATGAGGGACCAAACCCATGCCCCCTACAGTGGAAGCATGGAGTCTTAACCACTAGACTGCCAGGGAAGTCCTGAGATTACAATTTTTAAGGTCACTACTTAAGCCAAAGTACAACTTAACTAAATTACCGGGAGAAAAATACACTTATTTTAAAAAATAAAGGAAACAGGCCTATTACCGAAAAGAGTTTCTGTAACATTATACATAAGTTTGCATTATAGAAGCAATGGACAGTCAATCAATATGAATGGGCTAAGGTCAACTATTAAAAGAAAATGCTATTAGACTGTATCAGAGACATACCTAAAATTAATTTGGAAAATTAGAAATAAAAAATTGTAAATGAAGTAAACATTTAAAAATAATTCAGGACTCATTGATCTTAGTTAAGGTTCAATTCAATTTTTCAAAGTTAAATTCAAGGTTTAGCATAATGCCAAACAAAGCCTCATGAATATTATTTTGAAATTTGATCAGCTCATTATTAAAACATGTCATAAAGGTGCTATAATCAATATGAAATGGTACTAGGGTAGAGATAATTAAACAGGCTAGAGAAACAATAGAGGAACCAGGAGCAAACACATAATTTACTGACTCTTGATTTCTATCTAAGGTAGCAGTGCATAAAACTGAAGAAAATTACCCACATGAAAGATCAGTAAATTTTATGTTTGAATGGAAATGCTTATATCATTCATATTTAAAGTTACTATCTACGTAGGTGGATTTCTATCTTCCATTTTACTGTCTGCAAAGTGAGAACATCAATGTGCTTATATTTTATCCCTTTTCTTACACACTCCCTTACTACATCATATTAGGTCTACTCTTTCTAAACTTCAAGATATAAGTCCTCAAAAGGGGAAGCATTTAAACAATTTCCTGGTGTCCACCTCTAAGTGACCACTTTGGATCCTATTTCCCCTGGAGACCTGTCTACTGTACTCAATAACTCACCTGCATGGCTCTTGCTTAGAATCTCTTCCTCTAACAACAATGGATCGTCTTGCTCCAACTTGACGATTACATCTGGTTTTGTTAAACAATACCCTGCAAATGGGAAATAATTTAGGATTTGGATCAGCTGCATTGGCTTTAATGCATATGAATGTGAAGGAAGGAATAGTTCTAGGGAGTAGCATAGTTATGGTGCTCATTTGACCTTTCCTTTGGAGAGGAAACTACAATGTTGTTTTTTCTGAATCTAAAAAGAAATTGATCTCCTTAAACCCCTGAATCATAAGGATACATAACATTGAGTCTACAGGTACAGAGGTTTAAATAAGGTTCCGCATAGGAACTTCCAGTCATGGCCATGATGGTGTAAGAGGAATAATGGTACATGCCAAACAACTGGAAACCATACAAAATCAATGAAATAATGACCTTTAGGCATTACACACTGGACAATGGTACTGGAAGACAAGGATCTCTGAGAGAAGGGAAGAAATAGAATTTCTAGGTTATGGTACAGGAAGAAGACACCGAATCACAGCCTGCTGATCTCAGTAACTACAGAAGGCAATGTTGGGAGCTCAGGAAAGCCAAAACAATTAGAATTTCTGGAGTAAAATATTTCAGAGGGAAGAGGTACACTGAGAGAGAAGCAGGAAGCTCTAACAGAAAGGTCACCTTGAGTAAAATTTGTATATTCATATAAGAAAACTTCCAACAGTGGAGGAAAAGAACCCAAATGCAATAGGTGGAAAAATTCCCAAAGCGTAAACACAGACAGGATGTTTAGAAAGAGTGGAAAGATCTTCTAATACATGTGGAATACATGAGATATTAGACACTGTTCACAAAAGGGTATTATTGTCCCACTACTGTGACCAAATTAGTCCTAAACTAAAGAATGCTCTAGACCTCAAATAACAAGCAAACATTGAATTAATTTAGTTAATTTGCTTAATTACAATCCAGCACTTAATGGATTAAAGTTACTCCCAAGTCATTTACTACCGCCCCCCCAGGAATGCCCCAAAGTATTTAAACAAACACAAGACAATCTAGCAGCCAACAGTGTAAAATTCACAGTATGCATGCAGCACACTATCAAGAGACCAAGTATGAAAAGAAGGAAAACATGATTCATGACAAGGAGACAAGTCAATCAATGGGACAGAAGAAGAAATGTAACCTGAGATTAAATTAGCCTCCAAGGACGTTAAAACTGCTATTATTAATACACTCCACATGTTAATGAAGATAGAGAAAACAGGAACATGGTGAGAAAACAAAGTTATAAAAAAAAGTCACAAATTGGAAGTAAAGGCAGGAAAATATATCACCTGGGGGAAAAAACACTGAAAGACTCCAAAAGATTTTGTGCTATGGATTACCAATATTTACATTAGAAATAAAAACTGACACAGATCTCTTTAATAAGACATCTAGGTTCTCCCGTGCTCCTGCTCTATTCGTTCTATCATGTGCGGCCACGCAGTTACTTGAAAACTCCATTGTTTACTTGTGAATGGTGAAAAAGGCTAATATCTTAGTGTCATCATCACAATTTTTGACCTCAAAGGCACTCTGAAACGTCACTGGCCTCCTAGGTCAAAGGACTATACGGTCTTAATAAACCTGCCACATTCAGTGCCTCCAAGAATTCCTCATAAATTTCAATGGGCACCCGGCCAACTGAGCACTCTATTAAGTTGTTGTTCTGGGATGATATATGAGAGATTGCACTTCTAACCAATTCCAAGATGATTCAAAACTCTTTAATATTAGAAGAGCAGACATTTCTGTTCCCCTTTGATTTATTCTAAATGGCAGCTTAAAAAAAAAAGTCAATATGCCCAAACATAAGATTTTCAAACTGTTTATACTTATCTTACACATTCAGTGTATCATTCACCTTACCAACTTTCTCAGCTAAAAAAAGGATCCAAAATTAAATATTAAGTTTCAACAGCCCCCAAATCAAATGAGGCTCCTCTTCTCTCCCCAAACCAGTTATTTGGAATTTTGAGTGAACTCAAACAGAACTCAGAGCGCTAGTATATATTGAAAAATATAATGGCTTTTTAAGACAAATAAATAAATAAATAAATAAACCCACTGCCAGCTGACCTGATCTAAAATAAAAGTTAAAATAAGTCATTCAGATTTAAACAAATGAAACAAAGTGTAAATTTGAATCTACACAAAGAAATAAAGAGAACTGTAAATGGACGATATGTAAATAAAATATTGTTCTCATTTTAAAAACATATTGAAGTGAAAATAACACTATAAGAAGATAATGCATTATGGGGATTACAAGATATGTAGAAATAAAATCAATAACAACAATAACACAAAGGATGAAAGAAAGTGAAAATAGTCCGTTGTAATATTCTTATGACATAGTTGAAGTAACAAGTATTACTTGAAGGTAGACTGATACTTCAGAGATGTATATTTAGCAACCACTAGAAAACAAAAAGTACATTTCATAGAAGCCAAAAGTGGGTAAAAGAGATTCATTAAAAATAAGCAGTGGTTAAGACTCTGTGCTTCCACTGCAGAGGACGTGGGTTTGGTCCCTGGTAGGGGAACTAAGATCCCGCATGCCACATGGTGTGGCCAAAAATTAAAAAACAAAAAGCACAGAGAAGCCAGGGAAAAGGAAAGAAAAATAAAGACAGAAAAAAACAGAAGGTATCAACCACAAAGATAACATTAAATACAAGTGATGTGAACATTTCCCTAAAACACAAAAATTATCAGAGTGAATAAAAATCAAGACAACCTTGCTGTCTCTTAGAAACCAACTGTGAATATAAAGACAAAGATAGGTTAGAAATAAAAGGACAGAGAAAAGTATATATCATACGAAGCACACAAGAAGCAAATGAAAGTCTGACTGACTATACAGTACCAAACAAAATCCAGAGAAAGAAATACTACCAGGGATATCAATAAAAACTTCAAAATGCTAAAAGGGAAAATCCACCAAGAGGATGTAATAACCCTAAGTGGTTTACTACTTAAAAACAGAGTTTCAAAATGCATGAAGCAAATCCTATTAAAAAGGAAAGAAGATATAAATAAATTAGACTTGGATACTCACATTCCTTTCTCAACATTTAATAGAACAAATAGATAAGATATTAAAAGGATATAGAAGCTTTAAGCAATACAATCAGCCCACTGGAACTAATCCCTATCTAGAAAAAATACCATTTTCAGTCACATATGGAACATTCCCCAGGATCATATGTTAGGCCCTAAGACAAATTTCAATACATTTAGTAAGACTGAATCATGCATGAAATATTATCCAGAGTAACACACAAAAAAGGATATAAAAATTGTAACAGTAAGAAATTATGAAACAAATATTTAGAAAGTAAACAAATTCTACAAAACCAATGGATCAAACAGGAAATTACCAGGCATTTAAAAAAATATCTTGGATTAAATGAAAATAAAAACATAACATCAAAACTTGTGTGATGCAGCTAAAGCAGTTTTCAAAGAAAAATATAGCGCCTTATGCTTACATTAAAAAAGTAAAACCAAGTCTCAATTCATGAGCTTAAATTTTATCATAAAACAGCAAAGAAAGGAAGGGCAAGGTAAACCAAATCAGTATAGAAAACCCTGAGGATTCCAAAAATAAATAAAGCTCCGAAAGCTAATAACCAGGTTCAACAAGGTTGCGGAATACAAGGAAATATGCAAAACCCAGTTGTATTTCCATGCAGTAGCAATGAACAAGCCTAAAATGAAAAATAAAAACAATTTCATTTAAAAGAGCATCAAAAAGAATACAATACTTAAAATAACTTTAACAAAAGTATAAAATTTGACCACTTAAATCTACAGAATATCATTATAATAAATTTTAAAAGTCCTAAATAAATAGAAAAAAACTGTCAAAGTCATCCATAAGGGTTGGAATCTCAATGTTCATGGATCAGAAGAGTTAATGTTGTCAAGATGGCAATACTCCAGAAATTGAGCTACAGATTCAATGGAACCACTAACAAAATCACAGCTCCTTTCTTTTACAGAAATTGACAAAGAAAAAAACTGGAGAGCTCACACTTTTCAATTACTCTGTTTACAGAAAACACTACTGTTTCTCATTTATATTATTGTCTCTACTCACAGAATACTTATGTATTCTCAATACTTCTTCACTGCTGGTCACTGGGTGTGTAGAGGTTTTTCCCACTACCAAGCAACTCTGCAACACCAGCAAGGTGTTCTACATTCAATTCAGTTCTGACATATCCACTTGGAGTTTGCATCGGATCTCACAGGCTAGGAGTTGAGTCCCCAAGACTGCCTCTCCTCACACTTCAGATGCCAATTACAAGCCCAGGTTACTACCTGTGCTACTGACCAACTAGCTATAAATGGGAGGTTCCCACATCCCTCAGGTTTAATTTGCTAGAATGGCTCACAGAACTCAGGAAAACAGTTTGCTTACTATTAATAGATTGCCAGGTTTATTACAAAGCATACAACTCAGAAACAGCCAGACAAAAAAGCTGCATAAGGCAAAGCTTCCATGCCCTGTCCAGGAGCATCAGCCTCCCACCACCTACAAGTGTTCACCAACAACAAAGCTCTCTGAACCCCACAGTTCAGACATTTTTATGGAGACTTGATTATATAGGAATAATTATTAGTAGTAATTAAGTCAATCTCCAGCCCTGCCCCCTCCCTCCCAGCAGGTCAGGGGATGGGCCTGAAAGTCCCAACTCTCTAGTCACTTGATTGGCATTCTTGGCAACAAGCCTATATCCTCAGGGGGTTTCCAAAAGTCACCTCAGTAACATGAACTCAGGCATGGTTGAAAGGGGCTTGTTATGAGTAAGACACCTCGATCTCTCGTATCACTCAGAAATTGCCAGGGTTTTAGAACTCTGTGTCAGGAACAGGGATGAAGACCAAATATATCTTTCTTATTATAAATCACAATACCGTACTATACTATTAAGGTAGTACTAGTGTAAGAATAGACACATTAAGAATAAAAACAGAGAACAATGGAGAATTGAGAGGCCAGAAATAAACCCTTAAATTTATGGACAGTGGTTTCACCAGGAGTAGATTTCATCACAAGAAACCACTTTCTTTGCTTCTTCAAGAAGCAACTCCTCATCCATTAAATTTTTATCATGGGATTGAAGCAATTCAGACATATCTTCAGATTTTACTTCTAATTCTAATTGTTTCTGCCACCACATCTGCAGTTACTTCCTTCACTGAAAATTTGAAACTGTCAAAGTCATCCATAAGGGTTGGAATCGACTTCTTCCAAACTCCTGTTCCGGTGGATATTGTGACCTTTTCCCATGAATCACACATGTTCTTAATGGCATCTAGAATGGTCAGTCCTTTCCAGAATGTTCTCAATTGACTTTGCCCAGATCTACAGAAGAATCATTATCTATGGCAGCTATGTTTACAAAATATACTTTTTAAATAATAAGACTTGAAAGTCAAAACAACTCAACACATGGGCTGCAGAATGGATGTTGTGTCAGCAAGCATAAATATACTAATCACATTGTACATCTCCATCAGAGCTCTTGAGTGACCAGGTGCATAACCAATGAGCATGTTTTGAAAGAAATCTTTTTTCTGAGCAGCAGGTCTAACAACAGGTTAGATACTCAGTAAAGTATTTTGTCAACAGATGTGCTGTCATCCAGGCTTTGCTGTTCCACTTACAGAGCACAGGCAAAAGAGATTCAGCATAATTTCTAAAGGCCCTAGAATTTCCAGAATGGTAAATGAGCATTGGCTTCAACTTAAAGTCACCAGCTGTACTAACCCCTAACAAGAGAGTCAGTCTGGGCTTTGAAGCTAGGCATTGACTTCTTCTCTCTACCTTTGAAAGTCCTAGATGGCATCTTCTTCCAATGGAAGAGTATTTCATCTACATTGAAACTCTGTTGTGTAGTGTAGCCACTTTCATTAATCATCTTAACTAGAACTTCTGGATAACTTGCTGCATCTTTTGCATCAGCACTTGGTGATACCCCTTGAACATTCATCTTAAGAGAGACGGCTTCTTTCCTTAACCCCCATGAACCAAACTATACTAGATTCAACCTCTTCTTCTGCAGCTTCCTCGCCTTCCTCAGCCTTCACAGAATTGAAGAGAGTTAGGGCTGTGCCCTGGATTAGTATTTGGCTTAAGGGAATGTTGTGGCTGGTTTGACTTTTTATCCAGGACACTAAAATGTTCTCCATATCAGCAATTGAGCTGTTTCACTTTCTTATCATTCATGTGTTCACTGGAGTTAGCACTTTTATTTTCCTTCAAGGACTTTTCCATTGCATTCCAACTTAGCTGACTGTTTGGTGCAAGGGGCCTAGCTTTCAGCTGATCTCGGCTTTCAAGGTGCCTTCTTCATCAATAATTTCTAGCTTTTAATTTTAAGTAAGAGACATGCAACTCTTCCTTTCACTTGAACACTTACAGGCCACTGCAGGGTTATTAACTGACCTAATTTCAATATTATTGTGTCTCAGGGAATAGGGAGGCCTGAAGAGAGGGAGAGAGATGGGGGAATGGCCAGTTAGTGGAGCAGTGTGAACACACACAATATTTATCAATTAAGTTTGCCATCTCATATGGGTGCAATTCATGATGCCCCAAAACAATTACAACATAACATCAAAAATCACAGATCACCATAACAAATAAAATAATGAAAGAGTTTGAAACGTTGTGAGAATTACCAAAACATGACACAGAGATAAAGGTGAGCAAATGCTGTTTGAAAACTGGGAGCAATACATGTGGTCAGACCCAAGGGGTTGCCACAGATTTTCCATTTGTAAAAAATGTAACATCTGGGAAGCCTAATAAAGTGAAGCACAACAAAACCAGGTGTTCTTATAGGTACAAATAGTTGCCGTGAGACCCAGAAAACCACAGCTAGAGTCTTTACACAAGGGAATGAACACATGGACTTAAATATCTATAACACCTTTACCTATGATAGCACCAAACTGATAAGGACCTCAGTGTCTTATGAACAACTGAAAATACATGGCATAGAACAAAACACTACTCGTCAATAAAAAGAATAAATACAGATACACACAACAAACATCCATGAATCTCAAAAGAATTAAGCTAAATGAAAGAAGCCATACAAAAATATAGTACACAACCTTGTATGTGAAATCTCAAAAAAGGCAAATGTATTGAAATAGAAAGTGGATCAATAATTATCAGAAAATGGGTGGGAAGAGAGGACTGACTGAGAAAGGAAAATTTTCATGTGATAGAAATAATCTGTATCATGATTTTGCTGGTACAGCTGTACACATTTTTCAAAATTCACTCAATTATAAACAGAAACTTGCTGAATTTTCTTTTCTGTTAATTATACCTCAATATAGGTAATTTTTTTTTAAAAAAAGAAGCAGCAGAGGGGCTTCCCTGGTGGCGCAGTGGCTGAGAGTCCGCCTGCCGATGCAGGGGACACGGGTTCGTGCCCCGGTCCGGGAAGATCCCACATGCCGCGGAGCGGCTGGACCTGTGAGCCATGGCTGCTGGTCCGGAGCCTGTGCTCCGCAGCGGGAGGGGCCGCGACGGTGAGAGGCCCGCGTACCGCAAAAAAAAAAAAAAAAAAAAAAAAAGAAGCAGCAGAAAATCACATGCACTCTAGGCAGACTTGCACGATAAAGCAGGCTCACCTGATGAGACAAGGAGGCTGTAGTTCTCCAGCATCACATCTCTGTACAGGGTCTTCTGAGCAGAGCTCATACACTGCCACTCCTCCAGGGTAAACTCCACAGTCACGTCCCTGAATGACACTGATGTCTGTGAAAGCACATTTCTCATCAATCTGAAGAATTCAAAATTAGGTGACATGGAAAATACCTCTGGAAGTAATTCCTATCAAGTTTATGGTTAAAAATGTAAGACAAAAACTGAAAATCTTTTCATATTATCAAAAGTATCTGACAGTATACTCTTTATATGCAATGTCCTAGGGAAGCAGGCATTTTCATACATTTGGCTCTGCCTTCAAAATCCATTCAAAATTTGATCACTTCAAAGTACAGCTGCTAACATCATCATTTCTTGAAAGGATTACTGAAAGAGCCTGCTAACTCTTCTGTTTCCACCACTGTCTCACTAGAGTCCATTCTCAGAGTTATATTTTAAATTATAAGTCAGGTGATGCCCTTTCTCACCTCAAAATTCTCTAAAACACCTAGTAAACAGAGATAAATATTGAATTCATAGATTAGGAGGTTCAATATGGTGGAGGTATCAGTTCTCCACAAAGAGATCTATAGATTCAATGAAATCATAATTAAAAGCTTACCAGGTTTTTTTAGATTCAGAACCTAATTCTAATATTTATGTAAAAAGGCAAGCATCCTAGAATATGAAAACCATTTTTAAAAACAATAAAGCTGGAGAGCTGATATTACTTGATTTCAAGACATACCATACAGCCACCTCTAGATAGTGTGTGATATTAACAAAAGTGAAACACACAGATCAAAAGAAGAGAAAGTCTAAAAATGATATATACAAACATATGTGCACACACACATTTCTTTAATTTAGGTGTCTGGGCAATTCAATGGAGAAAGTATATTCTGACAAAAAATCATGCAAGACTAAAAAACTCCATTAGAAAAAAGTAATAACAATAACCTTGATTCATTCTTTGAACAACAAAAAAAAATTCAAAATGATCACAGACCTCAATGAGTCTGCTTTCTGCTTAGATTTTAGAGTCAGAGGAACGTATCACCTATCTAAAAAAAGAAACTGACAGCTGGTTTAATGAAGTGGGAACCAGCAAAATGGTTGAGTGTATGCTCCCTCAACTCAGTATTTAGAATACACTACCTGTACAAATTTCCAACCCATCCTCAGACTCTGAAATTCTAGATTTATGACAGGGCCAACCAGCAACACATTTGGTTGCTTTCTGATCAGCATTCCCTGTATTAAGTAAAAAATTTAAATATATGAAAACAGAAATTATAGATATAACAAAACAGATATAAGAGAATACAATCAACAAGGTTATGAAATACATTTAAAAACAGATAAAAATGTACAATTTTCTCTGAAAATGTAGTAATTAAAAAAATAGAAAACCAGACTAGATCTATGATTGTTTAAATAAAGTGATTCAATAATCTGCATCTACACAAAAAAGCAGATGTACTCACAAAGCCCAATTTTAGAGGTAAGTTTAAGGAAATATATAGCAGGTGATTTTCTCATATGAAATAGAGAGAGAGAGAGAGAAAAAGAGAGGAAGGGGGATAGGAGAAAGGAAAGGGGAAGGGAGGGGAGGGGAGAAGAGAAAAGAGCAGGAAAGTGCCCTGAAAAGACTAGCACAACCGAGATACCACAGTTGGTCAGGTATACAAGAAAACAAAATTATAGGCTAATCTAGTTTGTCAATACAGGAATAAAAATTCAAATATGATATTAGCAAAAAGATGTCAGTTACAAATTTAAAAACAAAAACAAAAAAACACACCCATGAGCAAATAGGGTCTACACAGGAATTCAAGAGTAAGTTAACATTCTAAAATCCATTTCAGCTACATCTAATATTTGTAGATTAAAGAAAACAAGCTGAGAGCAATCTGAAATCAAGTTAAATCTGTCACAGCACAAAGTAGCTGATGAATAAAGAGCTCACCTTAGATATGTTCATTTTCGGTAGTTTTTGGGACAGTGTAGAGGACGGTGAAGATTCAGCTAGGGGGACAAAAAGAGCAAAGGGTCAGGACACCTGGCCTGCCTTACAGTTCCTACATTCACCTCCCAATCACATCAGCAGCCCAGCTGAGAAGCAGCCTCCCTACAGCATCCCCTTAGCCCTTGAAAAGGCAAAGGAAAGACCCTGTGGAAACACCATCTGTCCACCTACCAGTTTGAAATGATCACGGGGCTTAAACCTACCACTCTCATTTGGTAAAAATAATTTTGTCTATTGATGTAAATTGATTTAATTGAATAAAAACAAAAAAATGAACGAACAGATGATTGAAGTACAGCAAAGGATGACACTACTTCATTAAAATTAACAGTAAGAAAAAGAGACACAGGTTGCATCCTTTATCTATTTTCCTAGCAAAACTGTTTACCCCTTGAGTTAGAGAATGCACAGAATGCCCCAATAAAAAGGATGCGGTGCTTTATGGCAAAGTTTTAAAAATTAATACTTTCTAGTGGGCTGCAGTTTCTCAAAAGGGACTCTTGATAAGTTTCTTCTGATGACTGAACGGTATGAACGACCGTTCGACTCCTGGCTCTGTCACATTCCGGGTGAGCCTGGAGAAGTCACAGGCGCTCTCAAACTCAGGACCACCTCACCACCCTGAGACTCAGATCTGCTTTTTGCTTAACGTGTGTTGAATGCAGATGTTCATACCGCTATCACGAGATAATTGGGAGGCTTATGTAAACCACCCAATGAAAGGAACAAAGTGTCTTCTAAATAACAACATCTATTATCACTTTTTCGGCGGTCAGTACCTGGCACTTGGCTCTTTTTCCAAATGACCCATATCGAATTCTCATAACAACGCCATTCATAGCTTCCTCTGCAGACCTGACTCGTCCCCAGGTTACTTCTTCCGCCCACAGTACCGGTGACACGGCTGTAACTGACCGGGTCTCTCCCGCTCCAGAGCAGGGATGCCCAGCACACCCTCCTCCCGCGCTTTCTGGCCCGCTCACGGCCAGCGTGACCACCGCGCTTTCCCTCCCACTGTCCGCCCCGGCGTCCCCCCGTCAGATGCAGGCGGGGCCGGGCATTCTGTCCCCACACGCACCGTCCCCGCTCCTAACAGGTCTCAGCTCCACCTGCCCCCGAGACCACGAGGCCAGAACCGGGATCACCCCACCCACCTTCCCAGGGCCGAGATCCAGGCCAGACACGGACACTGCGGCCCCGCCTGGGCCGGAGGGCGGCCCGAGACGTACCACTTCCGCCCCCGCCACAAGAATGCGGCTCTCAGCAAAGCTCCAGGCCACGCGAAGTCCCCGTCCCGGCTGCGCAGTTCTCGCACATGAGACCCCGACAGAAACGCTCCACAATCTTCCCCTCTCCAGACCTGTGAACTCAAAAGGGAAGAGGCGGGGCCTAAGTTGCACTTGCGCAGAGGGAGCCCCTAGAGACCAGGAGGAAGGTGGAGGGGAGAGACTACATTTCCCTTCGCTCTCTGCGCGCTCCCTAAACTGACTTTGAACAGAGCAATCGGTTTCCTGCTGCAGGGTAGAAATATGGGAGAAATGCTTGTCCAAGGGTCCACGGTGCCCAGAGACGCTGGATCGGGTGTGTCACACTGTGGGTCTTAGGCCATCTTCATACCTGGCGTATGTGGAGGTTCAAGGGCAAAACTGGGAAAGCTCATGGCTGAAATCAGATTGTCCAAATTGCTAAATCCTTATAGTCTTGAGAACATGTCCTCCTGATGGAATAGAATTTTCTGTCTGTGCATTAGTTAACCTACTTGCCATCATGTGGGCTTCCTTTGTAAAGGACAAATAGCGTATTTTTTCAAAAGTGAATTCACCAGTTTATTCATAATGGAACAGATATCTTTTTTCATTTTTTGCAATTTTGAAACCAAGCAGGACCCTGCAGGGCCCTGCTAGGAACAAAAAGCTTTCCCTGTCCCCTGATGTTTTGTAGGCAAAAGACTTCAGCCTCCCAGGCCATCCCTGAGTTCCAAAGGGCAGATTCAGACAGTTACTAATAGGGGAAAGAATGGAATGTAGAAGAAAGGTGGAGCCGTCAAAAAACCAATAGTGCAACTATAAAACAGGGACCTCGTTCCTCCTCAAGGGATATACATAACAACATATATTTCAGCTCCTCTGAAGGAACTAAGGCCACAAACCAGGGCTGCAACCCCGCTGGAGGATGGTAGCTTCAGGTGGAGCACAAGATTCCTGAACACCACCCTGTTAGCTCACCACCAACCACAGTAACACACCCTGTAGCTCTTGCCTGAAATTTTACCTATAAAAACTCTTACCCCCAAATCACCCAGGAGTTTGGGTCTTTTAAGCATGAGCCACCATTTCTCCTTCCTTAGCCTTTTCAATAAAACTTTATCTGCTCCAAACTTCCTTTTGGTTTCTTTGGCTTCACTGTGCATCAGGCACACAAACTTGCTTTTGGCAGTGATTTTCTACAAAAAAATCCTTGAACTCCAAGTGTTAAAGCTAAATATGACTATATAATAAACTGATAACCCAACCAAGTATGTTTTATGTAGACTAGATGGCCCTCCTTATGACATAGGCCTAGCAAAATACTCAATATACTTTGCAACTTTTCATACACCTGAAATTCTGGGCCGAGCAATGCTGTTGAAAAAGTATTATTCCTTCAGAGTGTGTCATACAGAGTGAAGTAAGTCAGAAAGAGAAAAACAAATACCGTATGCTAACACATATATATGGAATCTAAGGGAAAAAAAAAGGTCATGAAGAACCTAAGGGTAAGATGGGAATGGAGATGCAGACCTACTAGAGAATGGACTTGAGGATGTGGGGAGGGGGAAGGGTAGGCTGTGACAAAGTGAGAGAGTGGCATGGACACATATACACTACCAATCATAAAATAGATAGCTAGTGGGAAGCAGCCGCATAGCACAGGGAGGTCAGCTAGGTGGTTTGTGACCACCTAGAGGGGTGGGATAGGGAGGGTGGGAGGGAGGGAGATGCAAGAGGGAAGAGATATGGGAACATATGTATATGTATAACTGATTCACTTTGTTATAAAGCAGAAACTAACACACCATTGTAAAGCAATTTTACTCCAATAAAGATGTTAAAAAAATGACAGGAGATAACAAGTATTGGCAAGAATGTGGAGAAAAGGGAATTTTTGTACACTGCTGGTTGGAAAGTTAAATTGGTGCAGCCACTGGAAAACAGTATGAAGGTTCTTCTAAAAATTAAAAATAGAATTACCATATGATCTAGCAGTTCCACTTCTGGGTATCCATTCTTAACAGTAGAATTACTCTCTCAAAGAGATATCTGCTCCTCCATATTCTTTAAGTATTATTTACAATAGTCAAATCATGGAAATAACCTATGTGTTCATTGATTGATAAATGAAAAAAGGCAATTATATATATAAAATACATAACTATATAATTTATACATATATATAAAACTGAATATTTTCCAACCATATAAATACGTGCCATTTGTGACAACATGGATGGACCTTGAAGGCATTATGCTAAGTGAAATAAGTCAGACAGAGAAAGATGCATACTGTAGGACCTAACTTTGTAAAATCTAAAAATCCCTTACTCATAGAAACAGAGAGTAGATGGTATTTGCCAGGGGCAGGTAGAGAAGGTGGGTGGGGTAGGTGAAGGTACAAACTTCCAGTTATTAGATGAATAAATTCTAGGGGTATAATATACAGCAATGTGACTATGGTTAACAGTACTTTACTATATACTTGAAATTTGCTAAGAGAGTAGATCTTACAAGTTATCACCATGGAAAACAGTGATAACTATGTGAAGTGATAGATGTGTTAACTAAACTTATTGTGGTAATCATTTCACAATATATACATATATCAAATCACCACATTGTACACCTTAAAGTACATAATGTTATTTGGCAATTAAATCTCAAATAATCTGGAAAAAATAGTGAACAATCTTTTCTCAGTGAAGGAATTGTTCACCACACTGCTCTACATGGAAAGAAGATCTGTAAACATATTTATACAAATATTTCTAACAGAGCTCATGTGAGGACTGTATTATTTTAAAGAATAAATGTGTTCATCACCTCACTCAACATGTTGCTGTTTAAATGTATGTATATAAAAATGTTTCAGAGTACTACTTTCATGTGAATTTGAAAACAATATTTCAGTGAATGATTATGTCCATCCACTTGCCTGCATTTAAATCACTAGTAAAGACACGTTTGAACATTTTTCAACTACCTTTACTAGCGTGCAAATTTTAGAACAGTGTTATTTCAATGAATATTTGCCACATTGGTCTGCATGGTAAACATTAAACACCGATGATATAAACATGTTTCTAAAAGTGCCACTTGCTTGAGAAGGTGAGCAAAAGGGTATTTCAGTGAATGAATGTGTTCCCCATTTGAATGATTATAAAATAGTGTGTTTAAAGAGCCAAGTATAAAAGATGTATCTAAGAGTGCTATTTCACCTCTAGTTATTTCAAGTAATAGATGTATTCACCACATGTAATGGAGGTAAAATTATTTTACAGACACAGGTATAGAAGATGTTTCTAAGAGTGCTTCTTGCTTGGGAAGTTGAGAACAGTATTTTATTAAGGAATAGATATGTTCATCACAATGTATTGCTTGCAAAACAGTGTTTAAAGATACAAATTTAAAAGAAATCCTATATTGGCCTCAATGCCAGAGTGCCAGGTCAACAAGTCATCCATTCTGTGCATCCTAGGCATCCTAGATTTGGGCTTGGTGTCAGGCTTCCTGGTCTTCCAGCTGACCATCCTGGGTGTCCTGGGCATCTTGGACTTTGCCTCAGGTGCCAGGCTTTTGGTCAACCAGATGTCCTTCAGGGTGTCCAGGATTTGGCCTCTGGCACCAGGCTGGCACGTTGACCAGCTGTCCATACTGGACATCCCAGACCTGGCCTGAACAACTAATGACCCAAAGAAGAAATCAAAAGGGAAATCTAAAAGTATTTTGAGACAAGCAAAAATAGAAACACAACATACAGAAACCTATGGTATCTAACAAAAGCAGTTCTAAGAGGGAAGTTTACAGTGATAAATACCTACATTAAGAAAAAAGATCTCAAAACAGAATCTAACCTTACACCCCAAGGAACCAGAAAAAGAAGAATAAATTAAGCCTACAGTTAGAAGAAGAAAGGAAACAACAAAGATGAGAACAAAAATAAATATAATGAAAAGACCTCCCCCCACACCAAAAAAAAAGGAAATAGAAGAAAAGATCAACAAAACTAAGAGCTAGCTTTTTAACAAACTGTACAAAATTAACAAACCTTCAACTAAACTAAGAGAAAAAGAGAGAAGACACAAATAAAATCTTAAATGTAAAAGGAGACATTACAAATGATACCAAAGAAATACAAGGGATCATAAAAGATTACTATGAACAAACTGGCCAACAAATTGAATAACCTAGAAGAAATGGAAAAATTCTTAGAAACATAGAAACTGAATACTAATACTGAAACTAATACTGAATCATGAATAAATAGAAAGTCTGAACAGACCAATAACAAGTAGAAGGTTCAGCAGTAATCAAAAACTGCTCATACAGAAATGCCCATTACCAGATAGCTTTATTGATGAATGTGACCAAATCTTTAAAGAAGACTTAATACCAATCCTTTTCAAACTCTTTCAAAAAAGAGGAGAGAGCACTTTCAAACTCATATTTTGAGGCCAGTATTACCATGATATAAAAACCAGATAAGGACACTACAAGAAAAGAAATTACAGGCCAACGTCTCTACTGGACATCATTTCAAAAATCCTCCACAAAATACTAGCAAATCAAATTGAAATGCACTTTAAAAGTTTCACACACCATGATCAAGCTGGATTTATCTCTGTAATGCAAAAATGATTTAAATACACAAATTAATCAATATGATAAACCACAAGAACAGATTGAAGGATAAAAAAATCATATCTCTATAAGTACAGAAAAAGCATTTGACAAAATTTAACATGATTTTATGATAAAAAAAAGCTGCCAACAAATTTGATATAGAAGGAATGTAGTACAATGTTATAAAAGCCACATCTAACATCATGCTCAGTGGTGAAAAGCTGAAAGATTTTCTCCTAATTTCTGGAAGAAGAGAGTGGTGCCCACTTTCACTACTTCTATTCAGCACAGTACTGAAAGTCCTAGACAGAGCAATGAAACAAGAAAAAGAAATAAAAGGCTCCAAATCAGAAAGAAAGAAGTAAAATCGTCTTTGTTTGCAGATGACATGATCTTATATGCTGAAAACCATAAAGACTTCATAGAAAAGCTGTTAGACCTAGTAAATAAATTTAGTAAACTTGAAGGATACAAATCAACATACAG